TCTCATCCCTAGTTTCTTGAATCTCATTCTTTTTAAAAATGTATTTACTTCCCTGATTTGCAGGAAGACATACTCTGGTAGCATTCTGAGAAAGAGTGTATGAAAGGCACATTTTTGAAGACCTGAACATCTGCAAATGTCTTCATTGCTTGATTACTATTTTGACTGAGTATAGAATTCTAGATTGAAAATTATTTTCCTTCAAACATTTGAAGACTTCGTTCAACTTCTTTTGTTGTTACTGAGAAGTAACATTAGTTATTTTATTTGCAATTGTTTGTATGTGATCTTTTTTTCTCTCTAGAAGTTTTTTCTCTAGAAATATATATATGAGTCGGGGTTTTATTCTGTTGCCCAAGAGGAGTGCTGTGGCATGATTATGGCTCACTACAGCCTCGACCTCCTGTGTGCAGGTGATCCTTCCACCTCAGCCTCCCAAGTAGCTGGGACTGCAGGCACGTGCAACTGTGCCCAGCTAATTTTTATTGTTTTGTTTTATAGTGACGAGGTCTTGCTATATTGCCCAGGCTAATCTCAAAATCCTGGGCTTAATTAGTCTTCTCATCTTGACTTCCTGAAGTGCTGGGAATATAGGTGTGATTCATTCTGAGCTCAGCTGGAAGATATTTGCTGTTTTTAGCTTCTGAACGTTCACAGTGTTGTTCCTTGATGTGATTTTTTTTTTTTTTTGAGTCAGGGTCCCACTCTGTCACTCAGGCTGGAGTGCAGTGGGATGATCACAATGATTACAGTTCATGACCACCTCCTGGGCTCAGACAATCCTTCCACCTCAGCATCCTGAGTAGCTGGGACTACAGGTGCATGCCATCATGCCTGGCTAATTTTCTTATTTTTTATTTTTGTAGAGACAAGGTTTTACTCTGTTGCCCAGGCTGCTCTCAAACTCCTGGGCTCAAGCAATCCTCCTGCCTCAGCCTTCCAAAGTGCTGGGATTATAGGTGTGAGCAACCACACCTGACCTCTATGTTTTAATCTGTTTTGTGTTGCTGCAACAGAACACAATAGACTGGGTAATTTACAAAGAAATTTTTTTCTCACGGTTCTGGAGGCTGGGAAGTCCAATATGAAGATACTGGCCTCTGATGTGGGCCTTCTTGCTGTGTTTATCCCATGGAGAAAGGAAGAAGAGCAAAAGAGAATACTCTGTAGAATTCTCTAGTATAGAATTCTAGATTGAAAATTACTTTCCTTCAAACATTTGAAGACTTCGATCAACTTCTTTTGTTGCTACTGAGAAGTAACATTAGTTATTTTATTTTCAGGTGTTTGTATGTGATCTTTTTTTCTCTCTAGAAGTTTTTTCTCTAGAAATATATATATGAGTCACAAGAGAGTGTGGGAGGGGGGCTGAACTCATCATTTTATCAGAAATCCACACCTGCAATAACTAATTCCCAGAATAAGGCATTAATACACTTGTAAGGGTAAAGCCCTCATGACCTAATCACCTCCTGTCCTGTTTCTCAACACTTAGCATTGGGAATTACATTTCTAACACATGAACTTTGGGGGACACATTCAAGCCACAGCAGGATATAAAGTACTAGTATTTGGAGAACTGGACAAAGAAAGGGGCTAGAGGTCTTGCCTTTCAGTAAGAAGAGTTTTACTTGATCCTTTATTTTCATTCCTACACCCTTTGTTGTACCTCATCTCCCCAAGTTTCTCTTGTTTGATTTTCCCAGCAAACAAGCCTCTTGTCTTCAGTAGGTTGGGAAAGAGAGAGTTGTCTAAGTGGGCAAGTGGGGTGAGATGGGACTGTGAGTTGCAGTATAGAGAGACCTATTTCCATATTTTCAGCCATATGTCTCACCCTGCTTTCTCCTGTATCTACTGCCTCTAATTCCTGAGCCACTAGGCAAGTCGAACTAGGCAAGTTCATTTCATAAGAATCCCTACTGAAGGCGCATAGGTTTCTGTTTCCTTTGTTCTGTAAACTCAATTATCTCTCTTCCAAACATTTTCTATTTTCCAAACATCGTTGACATCGCTCATCTGTTGTTGTTTTCTCTCCTGGATGCATTATCCTATAGGTTTATATCTTATTCCTTTACTGTGATTTATAGGGTTTAAGAAGAGATTAAGATCCTGTTTCAATTCACCATGTTTAATCAGAAATCTCTATTATTCCTTTTATATATTTTTTAAAAATGGGATGTCTAGAACTGAAGACAGTATTCAAGTCTAACGTTCCTACTGTCAAATAAAACTACACTGACACATTCCTTGATCTAAATGGAATTTATTTTTGACTATAGCCTATGTCTATGTTACCCTTTTTATTCATTAATTTGTATTTGACTTCCATTTGCTTGAAAAACTGTGCCTCCTGGTCTTCAAAAGGATCAGATTAGGTGTTTTAAAAAATTTTTATATCCTGGTGGGTTTTCCTTTCTTGAACCCATGTTATAGATTCCACTATTACTCTTGATTGCTGCTGGACCTGTTTGTTAATATTTTATGTGTATGTTTACTTTTATATTCATATGGGAGATTGTATTCTTACTGTATTGTATTGTTTTTGTCAGAACAAAACAATATGGTATCAACATTGTACTGAGTCCTTAAAAAGAATTTGGGGCTGGGAGCAGTGGCTCATGCGTTTAATCCCAGTGCTTTGGGAGGTGGAGGAAGAAGGTTCACTTGAGGCCAAAAGTTTGAGACCAGGTCAGGCAACATAGTGAGATCCTGTTTCTATAAAATAAAAATAAAAATTAGCCAGGCATAGTAGCACTAACTGCTTAAGAGGCTAAGTAATGGTCCTAGTTACTCAGGAGGCTGAAGTGGGAGGATCTTGTGAACCTAGGAGTTTGTGGTTCAAGTGAGGTATGATTATGCCACTGTATTCTAGGTAACTGAGATAATATAGTGACACACTGTCTCTGAAATACATATAGTAATAAAATAAATAAAGAATTTGTAACTTTCTTTCTTTATGCTCTAGAACAGTTGAAGTAGTTTTGGGGAAAAATTAACAAAGCTGACTAAATGCAATATGATATTTTGGATTGGATCTTAGGTCAGAAAAGGAACATTAATAGAAAAATGGGTAAAATTTGAATACATCCTATGTTTAGTTAATAGTATTGTACCAATGTTAATTTATTAATTTTGACAAAGGTACAAGGCAAATATAAAATATTAATATTAGAGAAAACTGAATGAAGGGTGTATGGGAACTCTGTATTATCTTTACAACTTTTCATACATCTAATAGTATTCTAGAATAAAAAATTATTTTAAAAAAATCATTAGAGTGAGCTTCATCTTATAGATTTGTAAGAATTCACCTTTGAACCCATCTGTGCCTGGCCTTTTTTGTGTGTGTGTGGGGGAGGTTAGCTTTTAACAAATTGCACTAAAAAGTGTAATTCTATCTCTTCAAGGGTCATCTTAGATCATATATATGCCTTGAAAACCATCCATGACATTAAGGTTTTCAAATGTATTTGTCTAGTGATAAACAGCATAATCTCTCACAATTCTTTTTTATTTGGTCTGTATCCATGTTTCTCCCAATGTCATATCTTATGTTGTATGGTTATTTATTGGGTTTTGAAATTAATTTGGTGAGTTGAGACCTATATTTTCAAAAGTGAAGTACACTAGAATAGAAGAAATCATTATATATTGTTTTATGAAACTTGAGTCTCAAGCACATGTATATATTTTCTTGGTAACCTGACAATATCAAAGCACAAATGCATGTAACTTTTGACCTAGTAATTTAATGCTTAGGAAACTTATTCAGGTATATAGTTACATACATGCAGAAATGATCTATATACAGCATAGCTTTTTACAGTATTGTTTATAATAGCAAAAAATTGTCAATTACCCAGATGTCTACCAACAAAGAACTACTTTTTAAATTACAGTACATCCATATAATGCAATACTTGGTGTAGGTGTCAAAAAGAATGAAGAAGCAGCCTATGTGTACTGATGTGGAAACATATCAAAAATATATATGCTAAGGAGAAAAAAGCATGGTGCAAAACAACATGTGTGGTGTACTGCCCTTTGTGAAGAAATGTAAAACCTATATTTGTATTTGCTTGTAGAGGCATAAAGAAACTCTGGAAGGACCAGCAGAGAATAAGAGCAGTGGCAATGTATGGGTATGGGAACTGGAGGATCAGGCAGGTTAGGATAGAAGAGAGACTTTTTACTGTCTACATATTTTTTGTTGTGATGAAGACAGTTAACTTGAGATCTACCCTCTTAACACATCTTTAAGTTCACAGTATAGTAGCTGTATTTTTTTATAGGCTAATATTGAATTATACAAGTGAATTACCTATTCAAAAATTAAATATAAAATAAAAGGGAGACTTTTCATTGTCTACATAATTTTTGTTGAGATAAAGACAGTTAACTTGAGATCTATCCTCTTAACAAACCTTTAAGTACACAATACAGTAACTGTTTAGCTTTTTTTATAGGGTAGTGCTGAAATATGCAAGTGAGTTACCTATTCAAAAATTAAATATAAAATATAGAGCAAAAGTAGCAGCAGTGTTCAGAAGAATAGGCACAATGTGATTAAGGATGCTTCCATGTATGTGCAGTTCCTGATGCAGGCAAAACTGAACAGCATTATCCAGGGCTGCACACATAGTTGGGGGGGATGGGACAGTGTCACATGGTATGGTGTATTTCTTCCTATATGTTACAGTTGCCAAGTTTGACAAATCTTATCATTTATTTTATCTTCACATCATTATATTTAACTTCTTAAAATACAAGGTCAATCTGTTTGCCACGAGACTGAGTACTCTTTAGGGCAGAGGGTTACCCTACAGTTGTTTACTCTATGGAGCTGAGTACCAGGTTGTGTTGGTTTCAGACAGAAGGAGAACATTAGTTCTTTGATCAGCATGTCTTAAAATGGGCAAATACCAGAAGCATTATACTGATTTGTCAGAATCCTCTTCACACAATTTTGTTTAGTTTCTTAACAGCACTCTTCTTCCTTTCAGGTAAATGGAAGAGCTGGAGACCAGTTTATTCCAGACACGGAAAGCACATAGAATAGAACAAATGGTGGCAAGATGGCTTCGGCGCTCCCGGGACAGCTCAGCCCGGTAAGGCCCCTGGACTAGCAGAGATTTTTATCTGTAAAGGTCTGGTGTCTCTGTGAGAGGAGCTTTTGTCAGTGCTAGCAGCACCTTGTGATCACTGTCTCCAGCTTGCTTTGTTCATACACCATATGGTAGGAGAAGTGTGACTGGGTCAGCAATTTTGCTGGAGTGTTTTTTCTCTGTACCCCTATCTCCAACATGCACCTACACACACATAGACACACCTCAACTCAATATTTACAGAGACAAACCTATCACACACAGACTCATATATACAAATACATTCGTACATACTTATACATGTATGCTCTCTGGAACACACACTCGTATACACATACTCTTGATATCTCTCATGCACATACACCCACACACCTTGTCTTAGTACTAGATATGAAAGTCAGACAATCTACTGCTTATATTCTTTCCCTGTCTTCTTTTCCAGCAGCTGTTCCCCTTCCTTGCAGTCCCTATTTCATTCTAAACAAAATAAAGTGAAATCAAATACAGATCTGATTTGACTGCTACAAGAGAATTTTAAAATATGTTCTGTTTCAAAGCATTCATTTTCCATCTCAGATTTCCCATCTGGTCCTGCCACAGAGATGAAATATCATGTGTCAGGTGTTTCTGAGACACACATTCTTCCAAAGGAACTGGAAACAGCTGTTCTGCTGCTGAGTAATAACAAACTTTTCTCAGGGCTACATTGCCCTGTGGCCAAGTGCTCTGATCCTCACACACTGAGGTCAGATAAGGCTGCTAGAATTAGCCCCATTTTACAGATGAAACACCTAAGACTCAAAGAGTGACTTGTTTAGGACACTCCCACCCCACACTCAGAAATCTCTGATGAGTTCCCAATTTCTTAGAGGATGACGTTTACATATTTTTTGGCTTGACATTTCAAACCTCTCGACTCACAATCCTTCACTGCTATTTGTTTTACTACTCTGTTTCATACATATTGTGCTCCAGCTAAAGTGTGCTGCTCATTGTTCCCCTCTATAAACGTCCCCCTTCCCCTTTGCTCCTTGGATCTGAGTTCCTGTGCCAGATCCCTTCCTCCTATGTCCACATGTCCAGAACCCACCACAGTTTAAGGCCTGGTTGAAGTGCTGGGTCTTCCATGAAGTGTTACACCCCAGTCCAGTCAGCATTAATCTCTCCCATGAGGCCCCATAGTATTTGATTTGTAGCATTGGCATTGTGTTGCTGGTTGTGTGTTCAGCTTACCTTTCTTCTAGGCCTGCCTTCTTTGAGGTCAGGGAAAACATTGGCTTCATCGCTGTAACCCAGAAGTGATTGAGTTGCAGGAGCACTGCAGGTAGTCAGTCAGTGCTTGATAAATGAACATGAAAACTGCAAGGCACGTTGTTTCCCGAAGTGGAATCTGCAAAACCTAGTTCTGTGTGATGCTGTGCCACTAAAAAAGGTTCTGTGGCCAGATGTTTGGGAAGTCATGCACCTATATCCCACTTCTACCCCTACACGTGGTGATTTATTATGCACATGTGCACACAATACGAATTAAAAGCTTTGAGAAGTCCTGCAGAAAAGAGATTTGTTTAACTTGATGTTGTTCAAACATCTGACCTTGGAACCCTCTGACATCCTGCTTCCCTCACAGAATGTAAATGAACGATAACATTGACCTCGAGTAAGTTTTTTCCCCACATCTTCTTTGAGATGTATTTCACATACCATAAAATTCACCCATTTAAAGTCTACGATTCGGTAATTTTTTGTATATATGCAGAATTATGCAACCCTAAGCAAATCTAGTTTTAGAACATTTTAAAAGAAAAAAAATCCCATGCCCATTAGCAGTCGTTTCCTATTTGCTCCTCCCCCATCCCAGGTAACTACTAATTTACTTTCTGTCTCTATAGATTTGCTTGTTCTGGATATTTCACATAAATGGAATCATACAACATGTATTATTTTGTGACTGGCTTCTTTCACTTAGTATAATGTGTTCAAGGCTCATCCATGTTATAGCCTGGATCAGTATTTTTATTGCCAAATAATATTCCACTATGAAATATTTTCTTTGTTCATTTATCAGTTGATATAACATAAACATTCAGGTTGATATACAAACCCAAATGGGATGCATATATATGTTTAAATGTGTATTTTTGTGTATATATATGTAATATATACTAACATATATTATATGTTTATATGTAAATATATATTATATATGATGTATATAATATAAACATTTGAGTTGTTTCTGCTTTTGGACCATACTACTATGAACGTTTGTGTAAAAGCTTTTGTTTGAACATGTTTTTTAAAATTCTCTCAAGTGTATACTTAGGAGTAGACTAACTAGGTCATATGATAACTCTTATGTTTAGTTTTTTGAGGAACAGCCAGACTGTTTTCCAAAGTGGCTGTACCATTTTACATTTTCACCAGTAGTGTATGAGAGTTCCAGTGTCTCCACATCTTTGTCAACATGTGCTATTATGTCTTTTTTTATGAGGAGGGGGAACCAAAAACAAAAACAAAACAGAATTATTTTTTGGAGGACGGGCTTATTGTGGTACAGGCTTCCCCTGGTTGATAAGTGTTCTAGGAACCTATCAGCATCAGTGTACCAGCTAATATTGTTATAAAAGACTGCATTGTGAAAGAAGCTTCCTGATTTGTGGTAAACAGGTGACTGGTTCTTCCACCATGACAATGCACCTGTCCTGGAGTGTTCAGCAGTTTTTGACCAACAATGGCATAACCCCCATGCCCCACCCTCCCTTTTCACCTGATCTCACCCTAAGCGACTTTTTCCCCCTGAATGAAAAAGTCCTCTAAGGGAAACATTTTGCCAGTGTGGAAAAGGTGAAGCAAAAAACAGTAGAAGCACTGAAGACATCAAAATGGATGAGTTCAAAACTGTTTTGAGCAGTGGAAAAAGTGTCTCAATAGGTGTATTGCATCAGATGGAGAGGTCTTTGAAACTGAGTGAAGTTTAAACATGTAAGAACAAATGCACAATTTTTTATAAAAAAATTTCTGGGTTTTTGTATTATAGACATCCTAGAGGGTGTGAAGTGGTATCTCATTGTGGTTTTGATCTGCGTGTCCCTGATGACTGATGGCATTAAACGTCTTTCCATGTTTCTAGGGAGTTTTGATTTCCAAGTGCTTAAGAAAGAGAAGAAGAAGAGAGAAAGGTTCCTTTCAGTGCTCATATATGACATATTTTTGTGTTTCTAGAATAAATCCTATGTAGCCTGTGTAAATTGCTGCTCATCTCTAATCCTGTAAACTTGGTGTCCTCAGATTACTTGAAAATGATCAATAATTGAAAAAGCTAAGTTTGGAATAAATAATTACATTTCCCAGGACTAGAGTAAATACGACCACTTACCACCAAGTTGCCTAATCAAAAAACCTGAGAGTCATCTTTGAATCCTCCATCTCTACCCCATCAGCACACCTGTCAGTTCACCTCTCTGTCCCTGCAAGTACTGCCTTAGTCATTCACTCTTTCTCTGTTCCAGTTGATTCTCCATCCTGCAGCTGTAGTGGACTTTTCAAAGTACAAAATGTTCCTGTCCCACCTCCACCCCATGCTGCCCCACCCCATACCATTCAGTGGCTCCCCTACCATTTTGCCAGGGCCCACAAGTCTCTTCATAGTCTGGCCCCAGCCCAACTCTCCAACCTCATCTTGTTCCTCTTGTTTCCTTGCTCACCATTCTCTATTGTTTCTTCCTTTCAGTTTCTGGAGCTAATCAGGCTCTTTTTTTTTCTTTTTTTTTTGAGTTGGAGTCTTACTCTATTGCCCAGGATGGAGTGCAGTGGATTGCTCACGGCCATCGCAGCGTTGACCTGGTGGGCTCTGGCAATCCTTCTGCCTCAGCCCTCCAAGTAGCTGGAACTACAGGTGCATGCTACCACGCCTGGCTAATTTTTTATTTATTGTAGAGACGAGGGCTTGCCATGTTGCCCGGGTGGGCCTCGAATCCATGGGCTCAGGCAATACACTCATCTCAGCCTCCCAAAGTGCTGGGATTACAGGCTGAGCCAGCGAGCCCGGCCTCAAGCTCTTTTCTACCTCAGGGATTTTGCACTTGCTATTTAGTTGGCCTAGAAAGTTCTTTCTCGTCTGGCTTGGTGGCTCAGCCTGTAATCCCGCGCCTTTGGGAGGCCGAGGTGAGTGAATTGTCTGAGCCTGCGGGTTCGAGGCCCGCCTGGGCAACTTGGCGAGACCTCATCTCTACAATAAATCAAAATGAGCCGGGCATGGTAGTGTGCGCCTGTAGTTCCGGCTACTCGGAAGGCTGAGGTGGAAGGATTGCTGGAGTCCTGCAGGCAAGTCTGCGGTGGCTGGGAGCGGCCACTGCACTCCAGTCTGGGCTACAGAGTGAGACTCCAACGCAAAAAAAAAAAAGAAGCCTTTCCTAACCACCTAAGCCACAGTGGATCCATCTTCCCGACTCTTTCCTCCCAAGTACTTACCCACTCATCACACACTATAATAATGTATTGATTTGCTTGTTCATTGCTACCTCCTCCAGCTGTTTATTATATGGCCCTCCTCCCCAACCTTCCTGTCATATATGAGGCCAGAGACCATGCCTGTCTTGTCCTACAAAGTATCCTCTCAGCCCTCACAGAGTGTATAATATGTACTATATGTTCAATAAATTTTTATTGTTTAAGGGCTTTCATAGTAAGGGATTGTATTATTTATTAAAATATATTTAACATTTTTATCCCTCTTTCTTTCAAAAGAAATTCTTGATGGCTTATATTTTAAAACATGCAGGAAAATTAGAATAAGAAATGCAAGTATTATAAATAGATTACAAACCAATTATACTCAGGATTTAGCATTTGAATACTAACATTAGCTCTGAGTTTCCTGGTTGATGGGGCAAGAAGTGAAGTTCATTGAAATGTTTTCTATAATCCAGAAATAGAAAGCATAGACGTATGTCTGCAGTCATGTAATTTCACACGCATATTTTAGCAATTCTGTTCTTTTTTTC